GCTCGCGCACGCACACACACACGAGTACACACACACACACACACACACACACACACACACACACACACACACACACACACACACACACACACACACACACACACGTGCACGCGGGACGGTCACCTGGCGGGATAGTGTGCCGTGAAACCAGGGTTGTGACGTGTGCGATTGATCTGGGCGTTGTGGGGCGGAAGGTACATCTGCTCTGGCAGTGCAAACGTGTGGTGCAGAGGAGAAGGAGGAAGCGGTCGGCGATGATGGCATCGCAACCTCCCCACTCATGCTGGCGCTGACGCCAGGAGGCAGTGGGAGTGGCCGGCAACCCATGTTCACAACAGCATCACCCTTTGCCTGCTCTACTGCGGCATGCTGCTGCGGGTCGTTGAACCGTTCCACTGTTGCCTTGCCTTCCTCTGCAGGACGCATGCGCGCGTCGCAATCACTTTGCTTGACAGTTTCGCCATCTTCACTCTCATCCTCTTCAGACAACAGCGGGTTGTCGCACCAATTGATATGACATGGGCCAGCTGGATCCCGGCGCTTGCCTCTCCTCCACATAGCCAGCACCGTGCCGGCAATCCAGCAAACAGAGAGAGGGAAAGAGGGAGCGGGAGGGAAGACCTGATGAAGAACAAGAAAGACAAGCAAGAACTGGTTGTTGTTGTTGTGGGTGCTTCTTCAGAGGACAACAACACCCAACCAACGCCTCCTCAATCAATTTGCCTTGAAGTTGTGAAGAATCGCCATAACTTCAGCCATTTTTCTTCCTGTCGTGGTCAGTTGGTGCGAGCGTTTGCCGTGACTGTGACTGCCGCTGTGTGACGTGTGAGCGCAGGGAACAGGAGACAGAACAGACACCGCAACAGCAGCATCTTTGTGGAACAGAGAGACAAGTCCAGCAACGGAGAGACCAAGTTGGGGGACAACGTCGGCAGCATGAGCGAGTCCAAGGACAAGTACTTCTTCTTGCATGAAGAAGGCCCTCCAGGCTACGTCGGTGGCTCTGGACGCGGGTACGTCGAAGAGTGTGTGCGTTTGTGCTTGTCGTGTGTGCGCGTATGTGCATGTGTGCGCGTGTGTGCATGTGTGCATGTGTGCGCGTGTGCATGTGCATGTGTGGGCCTGCGTGTGCGTGTGTGCATGTGTGTGTGCATGTGTATACGTGTGTGTCTACGTGTGTATGTGTGCGAGCACGTGCGTAATTTGTGCGCAGGGATGCAAACTGTGGTTGAGTTGTATTCTTCACCCGCGTTGCTGCTGACGTGCTGTTGTACCTCACTGGCTCCAATTCAACACTGCATCGTGCTCTGCCTGCAGTGCGCAAGGTTTCACAACCCGTTCAGATATCGGCCCAGCCCGCTCCACAGAACGGTACGTGGTTATGCCACTCGCGTGTCATTGCTGATGTTGGAACATTGGTCTTCAACACTGCCTTGTTTTGTGTTTCTTCCAGCCCGACCCTGCCCGTGTGCCAATACTGCGTGCGCCGCTGCTGCAACTCACACGAACGCCTACTTGTGCCTATGTGCGCTTGACTTGCCTCTCATTGCGCCGACAGGGGTGGCGAGGCAAAGGAGGAAAACCTGAACGAGTCCAACTACGACGAGTTCAGCGGGTACGGTGGCAGCTTGTTCAGCAAGGGCAGCTACGACAGCGAGGACCGCGAGGCAGACCTGATCTACGACGCCGTTGACAAGCGCCAGGACGAGCGCAGGCGACAGCACCGCGAGCAGCGCGAACGCGAGGAGCTCTTGAAATACCGCCAGGAGCGCCCAAAGATCCAGCAGCAGTTCTCCGACCTCAAGGTGTGTGGCACGCAAGTGTGCGTGCTCGGGTACGTAGCGTGTGGTGCACGTCGACGGTAGACTGTGCCTCTTGCCCCCGTAGACCACAACAGCTTGTCACCATCATGACTGCCACAACTTGATGCCCTCGCCAACGTTTCACACAACACCAACAACCCGTTGCATGCACACAAATCTCTCTCCTTGCCGATCTGCAGCGCGATCTTTCGTCAGTCTCTGAGGAGGAGTGGGACAAGATTCCGGATGCGGCCGATATTGGCAAGAAGCTGAAGCGGGCAAAGCGACAGACACAGGAGCGGTTCACACCCGTCCCAGACTCCCTCGTCGCTGGCGTACGTTTCGTTTGTTTGCATTTCTTGTATGCTTGTGTGGGTTGATTTTCTTGCTCGCTTGTCTGCTTGTCTGCCTGCCTGGCATTACACGCCTTTGTCTGCCCCTCAGCATGTGCACCAGCTCACACATCGCTCCCCCCTTCATCACACACACACACACACACGACCACCAGGGCGGGGCAGGGCAGCACAGCTCACTGGATGTGCGGCAGCAGAAATATGGTGGTCTGCAGACGCCGCTGCCGGGAACACAGACCCTCAAGCCAGGTGCAGTGCTCGTGGTCGCGGTGGTGTTGAGGGGTGGGTTGGGGTGGGTTGGGGATGAGGAAGGAAACGGTGTTTGAACTGTGCTTGAGCGATGATGTTAGGGTCCTCGCTCGAGTTAGTGATGATGGCGTCCATGAGTTGCGCACACGCACAACACACGCAACACGCAACACACACACACACACGCACACACACACACACACACACACACACACGCACACACGCACACACACGCACACACACAGCATCAGTGTGCTCATCCGGACTGTTGTCACCATGACCCCATATCCTATGTTGTGCAGGCGATGTGGATATGATGGAGGTCGGTGCTGCGCGTGGCACCCTGATGCGCATGAACCTGGACCAGGCGTCCGACTCCGTGTCTGGCCAGACGGTCGTCGACCCAAAGGGATACCTCACCGACCTCAACTCCCTCACCCCGTCCTTCAGCGGCGACATTGGGTGCGTCGCGTTGTTTGCTTGATGGGTTGGTTGGTGTTTTGTGTGTGTGTGTGTGTGTGTGTGTGTGTGTGTGTGTGTGTGTGTGTGTGTGTGTGTGTGTGTGTGTGTTGGGAGAGGGGTGTCGAAACCTTTTCTGTTTTCCCTTGCCTCTGTCGTGGTTGCGTGTATGTCCAATTGCACCGCCCCTCACAGGTTCATCGCTGTTTCCTTTGGGTTTGGCGCTGCAGTGATGTGAAGAAAGGGCGAATGCTGCTGGCGGCCGTGCGAAAGACAAACCCGAAGCACGGTGCGTGTGCCATTCATGCCTGCTTGAAGTTACGTCAGCTCGTGCATCCCTGTTTCAACGAGCATACGTCTGCGCAGTTACGTCCATTGCAACTTTCACTCACTGCGCCACTCTCATCCCTCATCACACCATACACACACATGCGCACGCACACACGCACGCACACACACACACACACACACACACACACACACGAACGAACACACACACACACACACACACACACACACACACACACACACGAACGAACACCCAAACACAAACACGCCAGGCCCTGCGTGGATTGCGTCAGCGCGATTGGAGGAGGAGGTCGGGCGCATCCAGACGGCGCGCAACCTGATCATCAAGGCAACAGAGAAGTGCCCGAAGAACGAGGACATCTGGCTGGAAGCCATCCGCCTGCAGCCGCCAGAGCAGGCCAAGGCCGTGGTGGCGCAGGCCGTGGCTGCCGTGCCATCCTCCGTCAAGCTGTGGATCAAGGCTGCGGACCTCGAGTCGGACGTCAAGGCGAAGCGCCGCGTGCTCAGAAAAGGTGCGGAAATGTGTGTGTGTGTATGTGTGTGTATGTGTGTGTGTGTTTGGCTTGCCTCATATCAACCCCCTTCCACTTCACCTACCATAACCTCACACACACACACACACACACACACACACACACACACACACACACACACACACACACACACACAATTTACCCATCTCCACGTGCAGGGCTTGACACGATCCCCGACTCTGTGAAGCTGTGGAAGGCTGCGGTCGACCTTGAGTCGCCGTCCGACGCGTGCATCCTCCTTGGCCGCGCGGTCGAGTGCTGCCCGCAGAGCGTGGACCTGTGGCTCGCCCTCGCCCACCTCGAGACATACGACAACGCGCGTAAGGTGCTCAACCGCGCGCGTAAGGCCATTCCCACGGAGCGCGCCATCTGGATTGCCGCCGCCAAGCTTGAGGAGACGGCGGGCAACGAGGCAAACGTGGGGCGGCTCATCAGCCTCGGTATCAAGTCCCTCCAGGGTAACATGGTCGAAATCAACAGGTGCGCGCACCCGTGTTGTTTATTGCGTGTGTGTGTGTGTGCATGTGTGTCTGTGTCTGTGTGTGTCTGTGTGTGTGTGTCTGTGTCTGTGCTTGTGCGAGAGGAATAGGTGTCTTCCACCCCCTTGTGCATGTTTACGAAATCACACTGTTATATACTCTCCGTTCTTATGCGTAATTGCTGTCTCACGTCACCTCCTCGCCTCCCGCGCCATTCCACAACCACCATCACCACCACCACCACCGCCCGCCAGGGACTTGTGGCTGGCGGATGCGAAGGCGTGCGACAAGAGCGGGCATGTGCAGACGTGCCAGGCGATTGTGCGTGAGGTCATCAACATCGGCGTTGAGGACGAAGACAGGCTGGAGACGTGGCTGGAGGATGCAGAGTCGTTTGTCAAGGACGAGGCATACAACGCGGCGCGCGCCGTGTATGCGCACTGCCTGACGGCGTTCCCTGCCAACGAGGACCTGTGGGAGCAGGTTGCATTCTTTGAAAAGGAGCACGGCACACGCGAGAGTCTGGACGAGCACCTTCGCAAGGCCGTCAAGTACTGCCCACAGGCGGAGACGCTGTGGCTGATGGGCGCCAAGTCTGCGTGGCTCGGAGGCAACGTGCCCGCTGCCCGCAACATCCTGCTGCACGCGTTCACGGCCATCCCGAACAACGAGGACATCTGGCTGGCTGCCGTCAAGCTTGAGTCTGAGAACAACGAGCACCAGCGTGCGCGCGGGCTGCTGGAGCGAGCGCGACGTGAGGCCGGCACTGCACGCGTGTGGATGAAGTCTGCGCGGCTGGAATGGGTGCTGGGCAACCTTGACGCGGCGAGCGAGATGCTGGCGGATGCGGTGAAGCTGCATCCGACGGCGCCCAAGCTGTGGATGATGCGCGGGCAGATTAGCGAGCAGCAGGACAAGGTGGAGGACGCACGACAGTTTTATGCGCAGGGCGTGAAGAACTGCCCCGACTCCATCCCGCTGTGGATCCTCTCGGCAAGGCTCGAGCTCGCAGCAGGTGCGCTGATACGTGTGTTTGTTTGTTTGTTTGTTTGTTTGTTTGTGTGCTTGTTTGTGTGCTTGTTTGTGTGCTTGTTTGTGTGCTTGTTTGTTTGTTTGTTTGTTTGTTCGTGTGCCCACATTGGACCTTCACTGTGCGTTGTGTGTCATCGACCTTCCACGCATCAACCTACATTTTGACACCACCTCCCCGCAACCTTTCGTCTCTCTTTCGCCGCAGGCCAAGCGACGCGTGCGCGTGCCATCCTTGAGCGCGGGCGCCTGAAGAATCCGCACTGCCCCGAGCTGTGGCTGGAGTCCGTGGACATTGAGCGGCAGCTGGGACAGCCCGAGGTGGCCACCGCCATCATGGCAAAGGCGCTCCAGGTCAGTGGGTGGTGGTGATTTGAGGTGATTGTGATTGTGATTGTGATTGTGATTGTGATTGTGATTGTGATTGTGGCAGTGGCAGTGGCGGTGATTGGTGGCATGTGTGTGATGTGTTGCGCTGGCTCTGGTTTCTATTGCCCTACTGTCTGCCGTTGTGATCGTAAGCGAAAAAGTCGTTCATTCATTCGTGTTGGCGCAACGGCCCGTCTTTCACTGCACTCACGGTTGTTGCTATGTTCCAAAACACATACACACACGCGTATCCACACACATACACACGCCGTTCTCCTTCAACACCTCCCCCCCCCGCCACGTCGTTACCCGGTGTGCAGGACTGCCCCAACTCCGGGCTGCTGTGGAGCGAGGCCATCTTCATGGAGCCACGCCCCCAGCGCAAAACCAAATCCCTCGACGCCCTGAAGCGCTGCGAGAACGATGCACGTGTGCTGCTTGCGGTTGCCAAGCTGCTGCTGTCCGACCGCCGCATCACAAAGGCGCGCCGCTGGTTCAACCGCACCGTCAAGCTCGACCCGGACTACGGCGACGCGTGGGCGGCGTACTACAAGTTTGAGCAGCTGCACGGGGACGCGAGCAAGCAGGAGGACGTGTTGAAGCACTGCATTGCTGCGGAGCCACGACACGGGCCCATCTGGCAACGCGTCGCAAAGGTGCGCTGCTGCTGCTGCTGCTGCTGATGAACGTGACGTGACGTGACGTGCGTTGTGGAGGGGGGGGGGTACTTGTCTTGGTGTGTGTGTGTGTGTTGAGGGGGTGGGGGTTTGGGGCGTTACTATGCTGTATGGGTGTGCGTTTTGCTTGCCTTCTTTGCTTCTTCGTGTCCCATGTCACACGCGCACACACACATACACACATCTCCACACTGATGCATTCGTGCGTGCTTGCAGGCACCACACAACTGGGGGAAATCGCAGGAGGAAATTCTTAAACTTGTCGCCCGCGAAACCAAATTCTATTGAAGCCCCACAATACGTGTGTGTGTGTGTGTGTTTGTGTGTGTGTTTCCCGGTGCTGTTGGAATCATTGCGCAGCGTTGCTTTGATGTTCATTCGTGATTACAAGAAGAGAAATACAACAACATGTGCACGTGCAGTGTGCAGCCGAGTGTTGGTGGTGTTGTGGATGGCCAATAAGGAGAGGAACTGATGCATTAGCGTGATGAGGAGCTTGACTGGTGTTGGTTCAATTAAGCAGAGAATCCGGGGGGGGGTGCATGTCTCTTGTTGGAAGTTGGGCCAAGTGAGACGTCTGAAGGCCGTACTTAGCCCACACACAGGCTACACAGTGTCGTCTGCGACGTGAAGATGCGTGGAGGTGGTGGTAGCAGTGGTGAGATGAGGTGGTAAGATGATGTGGTGAGATGGTGAGAAAAGCCACTGCAGGTCCAAGCTACTTTCACACACACGCACATCGCACACGCACGTACGCACCATGGAAGTCCCACAGTGTCTTCTGTGGACCGTGACGAGAGATGCGCCAGCGAGCCATGTACGAGTCATTGTCAATGGGCCACTCCTATTCACACACGCACGCACACACACACACACACACATACACATACACACGCGCGCACACACATACACATACACACGCGCACACACACACACATACACATACATGAAACACGAACAAGTGAGTGGTGGTCGGCAGGGGCATGCAATGCTGCAATGCAACAATGAATTCTTCGGAAACGAATGGGAGCAGGGATTGGCGCGCACAAAGACAGAAAGTGAAGGTGGACGAAGGTTGTAAGAAAAAGAGGAACAACGATGCAGGTAAGACAGACCTTCTTGCTGACAGAGCTGAGCATGCTGAGAATGCTGACGCAAACAGAGCTTGCAGTCAGCGCTGGTGACCTGAGTGACATGGAGCACGGTGCCAGGTGTGGTGAGTGCAGCACAACAACTGGAATGCACACTTGTAAGGCGACGTGGGTAACGCACCCACACAAGCCACACACACACACACACACACACACGCACAACTAAAGCTGAGCACAAATATGTTCGCACACACTCGCACACACACACACAGCCTGCAGGCGCACCATTCTTGGTAGAGGATGCTGAGGCAGATGTGTCCGTTCTTGTACACGTGGGGGTGTTGCGGTGGGTTGTCGAGGAAGATGACTTCGGGTGGCGAGAATGGGTACTTATCTGCTTATGCATAAGCCACACGTGGCGCGCACGTGTGTATATGTGTACATGTGTATGTGAGAGTGAGAAAGAGATAAGCATGGACGTTTCTCTGTAATAACGTGGCCACGCGCTCAACCTGGGACATTCCACCCGTTATTTGGCATGTGCATTTGAAGGGCTCTCTCACCTGAAAATGAGAGCTGCAACTGAAACGTCTCTCCAGCGTACACCTAGTGGTGGGATATCAAGCAAAAGATGTGAACCCCAGCATACAATGTTTGCACATGACGAAGACGACGACGATGACGACGACTACCACCAGCAGCGCACAACCAACTATTGCAAGCAGAGAGCACACACAAGCACACACAGGTACACATGCACACACAAGCACACACAAGCACACACACAGATACACATACGCACCGTATTTGGGGCGCCAGCTATTTGAACGATCCATCGCGTGGATGTAGGGTCATCTGTGAGTAGCGTGACACCTTCTGGAGGTGTCTTCTTCTGTCAAAAACGGAGACACGACAGCGTGAGGCGCATACTCGAAGTTGAAGCTCCATGCGTCTCCCTTTCCATCCTCGTCCAAAGCCAAAAGAAAACAACCAAAACACACACGCATACACACGCACACATGAACACGCCACACACCAACGTACAAATTGTGCGTGTTCCGTCTTCAGCCGACGCTTCGTCGCCATCTCTGCTGCCGTGTGGTGGCGAGTGCAACCGTGTGCTGATGACGCCTGCCTGCTGGTTCGTGTGTGTCCGCTGCTCGCGCTGTGGGCGTTTGCTCTGTTTGCGATTTGTGGAAAATGTTGGCAAATATTCCGCAAAACGCGGCGCAAAACAACAACACAACACAACACAACAAGAAGCGAGCAAACACAAGCCCCTCCCTTGCTGCTTGCTTGCTGCTTGTTTTGGTTGACATTAGCCGGTGGTGTGGACGCGAGTGGGCAATATCGTCAACAGTAAGCGTATCGCCAAAGTACAACAGCAGCCACCCACGGCTGCCATGGCAGAACGAACAATGTCAAAGCGGAGCGCAAGGTATGAGCTGGAAAACACGGCAGAGAGTGCTTGTGTGTGTGTGTGTGTGTTTGGTTGTGCACGTATTCGGTTGTGCATGTGTCTGTGTTTGTGTGTGTGTGTGTGTGTGTGTGTGTGTGTGTGTTTGTGTGTGTTTGTGTGTGTGTGTGTGTCTGTGTGTGTGTGTGTCTGTGTTTGTGTGTTTGGTTATAATGTACTTGTATGCTTGGTTGTGCATGTGCTGTGCATTTGCATCAAGTGTCACTGCCGTTTTATGTACCTACAATGGTCACATCAATGAACTGCGCTCACGCAGTATGCTTTTTGTGCGCATTCATTCTTGATGCAGCGACTCCAACATCACGTTTCCAACGTACTGCACGGCCACGTTGTAAGTGGTTGCCTCGTGCATGTGCGTTTGTTAAGGCAGTCCTCAAACGCCAGTAGCAAGAGTCAACAGGACCGTTTGTAGCTGCTCTCATTCACCACCTGCTCATTCCCCACCCTCTCTCATGTACTCACCACCCATGTAATGATTTGTGGTTTCGCGCATCATGTGCAGGGGAACAAGGCGCCAGGACATGCCTGAGCGTGTACTGCACCGACCACACCTCAGCAAAGAAGTGAGCTCAAGCGCCATCCAACGCCTTGTATCTGTCAGCCCCCCCCCCTTTTTTTTGTCTGTTTCTGGTTCTGCTGCTGTCACACATGCCATGCGAAAGCCATGCCTCGTCTACAACTCATTGCCACTGCTATTTCCGCGAGCAGGTGTTGGCAACCAAGGGACGCGTCACATCAGTCGTACGCCAGCCTGGCACCATCGTCATGGACCACGGCCCAACATACAGCAGGTACATGCAGCGTGATACGCTTGCAGCAGATGGGTGCATCACATGCCCTCGTGTCGATGCCAGCCTTCAGCTGCGCAAACACACTTGATATAATTTGTCACCCAGCTGCACAACACACACACACACACTCATTCACACGCGCACACACACACATGCACTCGCACGCACACTCACTCACTCCCGCTCTCAATCATTCCTTCACCCCACCTGCCTGCCCACGATGCAGCCTGCATGATCGACATGTGCGGCGGTATTACCTGGAGAACCCTGGTGCACGTGCCCACCTGGTAGAGCAAGGCCTCCTCTCCTCAGATGGCCTCGTCATGGGCACTGTGCAGGATCTGCGCCAGAGTGCAAAGGTTCGACAGCTTTTCACGTGCTCGTCGACTCCGACACAACCGTGACTTGGCACGGGGTCGCGCACGCACATCGCACATGATTCATTGTGCAGTATCCAGCAGCTAACCAACACTCGAATTCATTTCTTCTCACATGCGCTCTCCCATTCACGCACACCGCGCCATCTCCCCACGACATTCTTCTATCCTGTTTCCCCCTCCATCGCCGCACACACACATACGCACACACACGCACACACGCACACACACGCACACACACGCGCGCGCACACACACACACACGCACACGCACACGCCCACGCACGCACGCACGCACACCGCATATTACGGTAGGCGTACCGGCTGGTTGGGCACCAGCACGAGGCCGAGAAACGCATTGAGGAGAAGAAAAAACGCCGACTGGAGCGCCTCAAGGCCGCCACGCTCAACTCAGAGCAGGTCATTCATACACCACTGACTGCATGCATGTGTACGTGTGTTGTAAGCTGCTGGCATTCATTTAACCCACACTGCAGACATTCATTAACCCTTTGCTCTCTCGCTTCTCTTGCGCTGCCCATGTCTACCTGTGCTTTGCTCTGCGTCTCTCCGTGCATCACCGCCAGGCGCCAAAGCTGCCCCATATCGTCTCCTGGTCCACGGAGCGCCAACGTGAACGCGACGAAGCAAAACAGCGCAGACAAGAGGTGCGCAAGCATGTCTTGAGCCGAACACGTGTGCGAGCATCAGCCCCTGCACCACCAGTGGTCAGCGCTCAACACTCATCGCTGCCACCACTACCACCACTACCACCACTGCCCTTACGAAATGCTGCACCACGCCGCCACCACCACGACCGCGTGCGTAACAGGGGAAGCGCTCTGAGGCCATTCAGTCGCGCCGCCAGCAACGGTTACTTGCACGCACGCGGCAACAGGAGCTTGAGGCCGACCATCGTGACCAGGTGAGAAGTAGGCATGAGAAGTAGGCATGACGTTTCATGACTGCTGTTGTTTCATGCACATACACACACACACCCTTGTCGATGCAACACGCACACATTTAACGCTTGCACGCGAGCACACGTACATGGCTCATTTGTTACCCACGCCCCTCGCTCATGTACACACACACACACACACACACACACACACACATACGTACACATTCACGTCGCCCTCTCTTCCTACCCCACCTCCACGCGTTCTCTTGCCTGTCGCCGTGGGCACCGCTGGCAGCAGCAAGTTGAGCAGGCCCTGGCGAAACGAGAGGTCCTGCTGCGGCGGCAGCTTCGTCGCTTCTCCGAACGCGACGTCGGCAGCAACCCGCTCTCAACCTCTCTCGACAGCGCAGACGGGCCCACACGCACACGCACACGCACACGCGGTCGTGGTGGTGGGCGTGGGCGCACGCAGAGCGGCAGTGGGGATGGCGGCGGTGCGCGGCGGGCAGCGTGGGAGGCGGAGGCTGCGATGATCCACCAACGCATGATGGCGATGCGACGGACGGCGTGGAGGGAAGAGCACGAACAGCGCGTGGCGGAGGAGAAGGCGAGGGAGGAGGAGAGGAAGCGACAAGCCCGCGAACAGCAGCGCAAACGGCAGGCGGAGCTTGAAGCCAAGCGCAAGGTGGAAGAGGAGCAACGCAGACGCGAGGCCCAGCGCAAGCTGGAGGAAAAGGTAATGGCTTGGATTGCCACTTCGCTTGCTCTGTGTGTGTGTGTGTGTGTGTGTGTGTGTGTGTGTGTGTGTGTGTGTGTGTGGAGGAAGGCGGGGTGTTGGTCAGTTTGACGCGTCTTGGTCTTGGCAGAAGCTCCATGTGCTTCCCACACCAGCGTGCTTGTCATGCCTCTACATGCCCTGATGGACTCGCTTCCACATCTTCGCACACACGCACACACGCACACACACACACAACAACAACAACAACAACAACACACACAACGCACACACGCACACACACATAACGCACACACGCACACACACGCACACGCCACGTCCCTTGTCCACCATTTTCGCGTGGCAGCGACGAGCACAGGAGGAAGAGGAGGAGCGGCAGCGAATTGAGCGCGAGAAACGCAACGCCCTTGCACGTCAGGCGGCCGAGCGACGCAAGCAGCGGGCGGAGGAGCAGCGAAGGAAGGAGGCGGCTGCAAAGGAAGAGGAGGACCGCACGCGGAAGGGAGCCCTGGAACGCGTGCGTACTGATGTGCTGTATTTATACACATATATGTGTGTGTGTGTTTGTGTTGTGTCAGGTGACGTTGCTGATGATGTTAGTCAAACTACTTTGTCTGATGCTATTGGTCGTCTTGTTTCCCTCTCATCCTGCAATTCTCCCTCGCTACCCCCTACCCCCCAACCCACCACCACCCACCCCCACCGTACTACAGCAACGGCAGCTTGAGGCGGAGCGCGCTGCAGAGAAGCGGCGAGTGGCGCGCGAGGAAGAAGAGCAGCGACGGGCTGTGATGATGGCCGAACTGCAGGCGATGGAGGCACGTGACGCCCTCGCCAAGCAGCAGCAAGACGGGAACGGGAGGAAAGAGGAGAAGCAGAGTGGTTCTGAGGGTGCTGATGGTGGTGAGGAAAAGGGTGATGATGATGATGATGATGTGGAGGAGAAGGTGGAAGAAGACGTTCGAAAGGAAGATGCAGCCCGTGGTCCATCTCCACCGCTGTCCGCAAAAACACCGGAGCCGCCGTCCACCTCCCGTCCGACATCGCGTCGAAGCGTCACGAGGTTTCGTGTGGGTAGCGCCAGCAGCGAGCGTGCGGCCGCAGCCACCGACGAGGATTTCGCTACTGCCGACGATGCACAAGCCGAACCAGCCATGGTTGATGGCGATGATGATGAACAAGGCACGCAGTCGCGAAGCAAGTCAGAAGAGATCAACACCAGCAGTGACGCCAATGACACAGGTGCTGATGACGTTGTGGCTGACGTTGATGAGAATGTAGATGTCCACTCGCCATCACCAACCACTGCGGAGGAAGTGGAGGAAGAGGATGTGAACGAAGACCGTGATGCAGCTGCCACAACAAATACAGCGATCGACAACAACAGTGACGACAACGACGACGATGGTGGTGTTGTGCCTGAAGAGCTGGCCAGCGCTCACGACGAGGACACCGCTGAAGATGGAAGCCCTGTCCCACCCGTTGTCGAAGAGGAAGAGGGGCAGGAGGAGGCCCTTGCCACTGCATCCACGGACGATAACGACGAGAACGCCGACGACACCGCTGCTGACGCTGCCACTGGTGATGCGGTTGATGAGCAGCAAGAAGACAAACCTGCAACACCACCTGCCCCAGCTGTTGTTGAGGAGTACACCCACAACGCCAATGCAGATGGGGCTGAGGTGCAGTCGTCGTCGTCTTCACCGGAGAAGGGCGACACAGAGGCACACGCTGTTGCTGAAACTGCTGATGAAGGACAGCAGGGTGAGCAACTACCAGAACGACTGTGTGATGGCGACGACAACACCAACAACGAAAGCGGCAGCATCAAAGCAACTGGCGTGCCAAAGCAAGAAGTGGAGACGGCCTCAGCCGAGGATGCCGTGCACGATGACACACCTGAGCAACAGCAGCAGCAACAGCAGCAGCAACAGCAGCAGGAGAGCGCGGCCCCACCGACAACGCCGCCGCCGCCGCCATCATTGCACACGATTCAAGCGCAGCTGCAGCTCTACATGGCAGACGCTGACGATGCGTTTGACAGCACCACCCTCAACGCAGCCCTTGCGTCTGTGCTTGGACTTGAGCGCCAGGAGACGGTGGCAACAGTGCTGTCTGCATGCCAAGCTGACGACGACGGAGAGTATGTGCAGCAAGTCAAGATTGAGCTTGGTGTTGTTGGCGAGCGCACGCCGCGTGTTGTCGCTGCCCTTCGGTCGCTCGCTGAAGAAGACGACCCAGCGCAGGTGCTCAAGAACGCTGCCCCAACACAAGCGATCGGCAAGGGTGACAGTGCCCGTGATGATGATGGTGCGCACGGTGTGGCTGAGGATGGTGCCGAAGCAGTCGCGCTCGAGAGCGCTTCGCCCAGCAGTGGTAACGGTCACAACGAAGACGACATGAAAGCGACGAGCACAGAGCCAGCGTCGTCTCCTGCCGCTGCTGCTGCTCCGCTTCAGCTCAAGTTTGCACTTGATCTCCCAGATGATCGCGGCAAGGGTGCGGACGACAGTGACGACGATGGTCCCCGACAGGCTGCCAAGTCCGCACTGAAGGAAGAAGTGGTGGCCGAGTTGGCCAAGCATGGCATCAGCGTCACTGCTGATCAGGTCACCCTGCAACAGACAGACAGCCGACCAGCATCGTCCCCAGCGCCAGCAGCCAGCGAGACGAGTGGCGGTGGTGGCGAAGTCACAAGTGACGACCAGACTGCCGAAGCCGCGACAGCTGGCGATGCAGCCATGCCCTGCGATGCTGATGATGTTGCGGAGACGCGTGGCGCTGCTGACGATGAGTCACCCGCCGATGACAACGATGACGACCAGGGCGACGGTGGCGACGCTCACGACGACGAGCCTTGCCTCCCTGACGAGCGTGAGAACGAGGCCACCACGAGCGCGGCTCCACCTCATCCAGACACATCGCCATCACGCACAGCGTCGGCATCCGCGGCCTCCCCCTCCCTTGAGCTGCGGTTTGACCTCGACTTTGCTTCTGTGGAGAGCGAGGAAGGGCGGGACGCGTTTATCAGCGACGTGTTGACGGCACTGGAGGACAAGGGCATTGACACGAGTGCGGTGCCGCGTGATGCAATCACACTTCGCCCAGGCAGCATCATTGTGTGCCTGCACGGGCTGACAGCCGAGCAGCAAGCGGCTGTGACTGCTGTTGCATCAAGCGTGGTGGTTCGTGGCGCAACAGCGGAGGTGCTGAGCCCACAGGCTGCTGATGAGGACGCTGAGGCTGGCGATGGTGGTGCTGAAGATGCGTCTGCTACTGCTACTGCTGCTGCTGCTGCTGCTGTTACCGGCGATGATGACGTGCAAGGAGAGGCTGGTGCTGCTGGACACGACCATCAGCCGAAGGACCAAGAGCAAGAGCAAGAGCAAGAAGAAGCGCAGGTGCAAGAGGAAGAGGAAGAGGAAGAGCAGGAACAGCGTGCCGAAGATGGCCAGCAAGGGGAAGGTGATGGTGTGCCTCCGAGTCAAGAAGGGGAGGTCGACACCAAGGACCAAGAAGCGCCGGTTCCAGCGGCGCAGGAGGAGCGTGAGCAAGAGATGAGGGATGAAGGCCACGCGGACCCACAGGTCGCAGAGGACGCGGACGAGGCTCCAGCGAAGGAAGTGAGTGCCAACGACGGCGGCGGGCAGCAAGCAGAGCAACACGAGGAAACGCCGGCATCGGCCATCGCGGACAAGGAGGATGAGAATGGTACAAAGCCAACTGATCCTGACCAGCAGCAAGAAGAAGGAAGACGACATGCTGAAGTGGAGCATGAGGTTGCGTCGGGTAGCGAGGAAGAAGCGAAGACTGCGGATGACGGCAGTGTTGTTGACAGCACAGGGGATGGCGGTGCTTTGACTGCAGAGGACTCAACTGCACCTGTTGACGATGACCAAGCGCAGGCTGCGGAGCAAGGGAAGGAGCAGCAGAAGAACAATGGTGATGGCGCAGGTGATGCAAGCAACGAGGAACAAGGCAACGACCGAACCGAGGAGAAGGCGGAAGCAGTGACAGATGCTGAGAAGCCGCAAGATGATGCTCAGTCTGCGGTGGAGGGGGCACCGCAGCCGCTGGAAGGCGAGAAGCAAAAGCCAGCAGTTGACGGTGCGAAGGAAGACGTGGGGGAGCAGCAGGACGTGCAGCCGTCCCCTGTCAGCGCCCCTGAAGACTCGACGACACAGCAACAGCAACAACAACAGCAACAAAGAGGGGAATCCCCCGAGAACCAGATTACAGAGACGCAAAATGAGCAGCAGGCGAAGCAAGACCAAGAGTGTGAACAGGAAGGAACGGAGGATGAGAAATTGTCTGCACAAGATGCCGTGGACAGGGACCACGGGGCTGAAACAGAGGCAGCAACAACTGGTGACCGTGAATGCGGCGACGGTGACCTTGAGTCATCAGCACATGACGCCGAGGAAGCGGAAACGATGGCGGGCGAGGAAGAGGCACCGCGTGATGGCAAAGCAACAGCAGCAGCAGCAGCGGTTGGAGAGGAGACGGTTGAGGAACAAGAACAAGAAGAACAAGAACAAGAACAAGAAGCCACAGAAGGACCATATGTGCAGGGTAAAGAAGAGCAAGCAGGGGGGCGTGATCACATGGAGGAGGTGGAGGAGGAAGGTGACACAGACAAGGGCCGGAGTGCTGAGCCAAGTGGCGATAACGACAGCCCACATGATGCTCAAGAGGAGGGGGGCAGCCAAGAAGATGACGACGACGCTGCTGGGGTTAACAAGGACGGTGATGGTGTTGATGCTGATGCGGCTGACCCTGACAGCAAGGAAGCAGGTGACGAAGGTGATGAGGCACCCGTGCATGAGCAAGAGCAACACGCGAGTGAGGAGAACGGCGATGATGATGCAGAAGCGGCGAGTGAGGAAGATGAGGAGGCGACAACTAACGCCGCACCGCCCGAGGACCGTGGCTCCGCTGCTGATGGCGAGAGACTCGACGACACGACAGGCGACGAAGAAGTGACAGACGGTGATGGCGCGACAGACCAGCAAGGCCAAGCCAACGACGACGACGACGACGACGACGACGACGACGACGACAACGACAACCCCACCGCCGCGGATGGTGAGAACGACGATGCTGACGCCGCTGATGCTGTGCCAGACGTCAAACAAGGCGGAGAAAGCGATGGGGTTGATGACGAAGGAGAAGAAGGAGGAGAACACGATGCAGCCGAGAAGGATGAAGCGGAAGAGGGCACGACGCCTGGTGATGGTGATACCGGCGTGGCAAGCGCGAGCGCCACGTCAGCGCGGGATGATGAAGGGCAAGAAGGAGTCGAGGTGAGGGGATACAACGAAGAGAACCAAAATGAAAATGTTGATGACGGTGGTGGTGATGATGATGATGGTGAGGGTGATGATGATGGTGAGGGTGCTGATCGTGAGAAAGAGGAAGAAAAGGCCGCAGCCAGTGGAGATGAGGAGGAGGTGGAAGAAGAAGAGGTGGAAGAAGAAAGAGGGGAAGAGGAACAGGGTCCAATTGCAGAACCCAACGCATCTACAACTGAACCACCGGCACAGCAAGTGTCAGAACAAGGATCAAGCAACGATGCAGTGGCCGAGGAGAAGGATCGTGGCGATGATGACGACCTACAGCGAGAAGAAACGAATGCAGAGCACCAAGGTGACATGCAGCAGCCGGAACATGAGTCCAACTCAGACACGCCCATTGATGCGGCCGCCACTGCTGCATGTGCCTCCATGCCACCGATTGTAGAAGAGGAAGCCCACGAAACCAAGCACAGCAGTGCTGAAAGTGACACCGCCACAGCAGTCAACCATGATGGCAGCATGAACGACACTCCATCGCCTGGCTCTGCATCGTCACAGCGTCGTCGCAGCTTGCCCTCCACCCCACCGAAGCAAGACGTCGCACAGACCACTTCCCCACGCAAGCGCCGCCTCCCGTCTTTGGTATATTGACGCTCGCTGTTTTGTGTGTGTGTGTGTGTGTGTGTGTGTGTGTGTGTGTGTGTGTGTATGCTGTGTGTGTATGCTGTGCGTGTGCGTTTTCGGCAATGGTGTGAACAACTCGCCTGTGGTTGCATTTGAGCTTCAGCGGACCTCACACGTTGCCTCCATTCGCAACTGCCTGTGTTTTTGCATCAGTTCCGCCGCCGGTCCTCCCGCACTTCAACCATTGCACACGATGTATCTGATGAACCCCCTGCCAGCCCAGCCTCCCCGGTACGTGCCGAGTCGTGATGTTGTGTGTGTGTGTGTGTGTGTGTGTGTGTGTGTCTGTCTGTCTGTGTGTGTGTGTGTGTCTGTCTGTGTGTGTGTGTGCTGCAGATGTTGTTCGTCTCTCTGTGCAGGAAAAACGCCATGCCAGTGCTGTGCTGTTTGCTGTGTAGAGCTTGTTCAATCGACAACTACAGCTCACAGTACGCGCGCACACGCACACGCGCTCACACGCACACGCGCTCACACACGCACACGCACACAAACACACGCACATGCACACACGCGCACACACGCTCACACACGCACGCACACGCACGCACACACGCACGCACACACACGCACACACAGAAGAGCCTGGGTGCGTTTCGGGCCGCCGTACATGCCGTTCAATTCACCAACGAACTCATCACTGTTGAAGATGAGAACGTAACCGATCGTGAAGTAGAGGCCATCAAACGGCGCAACCCAGACAAGCGCGTCCTGCGACGAAACTCACGTGGATCATGGTGCTATGCATAAAACGAAACGTACCCAGCATGGCTGTTTGTGTTCCTTCCTTCCTTCCTTCCTTCCTTCCTTTCCGGCATCGATAGTTACGACTCATGCCAATCCATACACCACCTGTAACCACCGTAACCACCCACATGTGTAGCTCCTTTTGCGTACTGTCGTTCACAATCGGCTTGCTTGCGTCTTTACTCCTGCTTCTTTGCTGTGTGCATCTCCCATGCATGCTTCACCGGTTGCTCCATTGTAGTCGGATTGATTGCGCTTCTGTTGTAGTCTGCTGTTGCGTTGACGAATGGAAATACATAAAGTGTAAAACATCAAATGCACCTTCAATGCAACAGCAGCGACACAATCAACAAACAAACGAACGGGGGAAGCACGTGGAAGATGACAACCCACTACTAGGACGCAACGCACGACTCGCGGAAGCATTCTTGCTGTTAGGTTCCATTAAGACACGCAAAAGATGCGCACTTATTCAAGATGAGAACTGACACGTAAAGATACTAACGGGTGCAATCGACCATGCACTACGTCGGATCGCATACACAGGCAGCAAAGAACCACAAGAGCCTTTTCACACATATCGATTGACACGTACACACACACACACACACACACACACACACACACACACACACACACACACACACACAAAACTTACAAACCCCCACACACTTTAGGGCGACGCTATTGTCAACATGCCATCTGATAGCCCGGTTGTGCCCGGGAGCGAGGTTCCTACCGGGAAGTGCGTTTGCCGTGATATGTATGCAATGGTTAGCGACCATGCCCACCAATACTGGTGCGCACCGGTTTATGGATAACCCCACGTTATGCCTCGAAAATAAGGTGGTTTAAAACTACGTACGACACACACACACACACACACACACACACACACACACACACGTACACACACACACACACAAACTCACACACACACACACACAAACTCTCTGACGCAGTCACTTACTTGCCTCGCTCACAATCACACACACACACACACACTCAACCGCACAGTGTTACCATCGAAAGCCACCGCCAAAGTGCTGGAGGTGGACATCGGGGACAAGCCTGGACTGGGCATCACGCGGGCGAAACTGGTGCAGAACAACGTTGCTCCACTCTGTCTGGTCGCTTCGCACGCACTGCGAGGTGGACAGCGACTCGAAGTACGGCAGCGTCCCCACGCTGTCAAAGGTGCATTTCGTCAACTCCAGCACTCGAACGCCGGCAAGCGCGTGGAAGTCTTCAAGGGTGCAGGATGTAATGGAGCACTTGCGAACGTTTCGGGTGAATTCCAACTTGAGCGGGCCGGATACCGTCCACAGCGATAAATCGCCCGCAATGTCGCCCAGCGAGGTTCGTGGCATGCGAGGGCCCCGGATAAGCACCTGTTGTGCACCACGAGCAACGACGGCACCAGTGCAGTCTTCCAGGGTGATGGATTGCTTCGCACATGCGCTGTGAAGTTCGCCTTGCTTGAGCGCGCACTTTGAAATGTGAAGTGTGCCTACAGCCTTCAAGTTGTCCAGGCCAACCAGTGCAGCGTCGTTGGTTTGCCCTTTCACAACCACCTGGGCCACGTTCTTGAGCGGCGCGACGTCAAATTCGTCGGAAACGAGAACCACCACGGACTTGATGCTTGCAGGCAAAGAAAAGCCGCGAATGTCGCTGGCGTCCACGTCATACAATTGAATGTCTGCGCCCGCGGGGATGTCGTGCAACACGGTGCCAATGTGCTTGCTCGCCGCGGCGTTCAGGTTTAGAAGAGTGACCCGCTGGATCAGCTCCCTCAGCATGGGTGCGGGCAGTGGAAGGCTGGAGCCGAAGTTCTCGGCCTTCTCAAACAAAGGCAGGCGTGGCGGCAACATGGGGCATGCGATAATGAAGAGTTTCTTGAAACGGCGCTTGCTCTGCGCAAGCCTGGCGGCTGCATCCAAATCGGTGAAATCGGCACACTCATTCCCTTCGAACATGGGCATGGACACGGATGCGAGCACTGGGCAGCGGGCGAGGCTGAGGCTCGTGATGTTGGGGCTCCTGCAGGCGATGCTGGTGAGCGCCGAGCAGTCCCACAGTACAAGTTCCCGCAGGTCCTGCACGGCATCAAGCAGCAGCGCCACGAGTTCAGGGCTGCTGTCCACGCGCAGCTTCTTCAGCGTTTTGCCCTGGAACGAGAGCTGCTCAATACCCATACACTCGTCAACCAAGATTGCGTCGGCGCCGGGTACGTCAATGTGCAAACCGCGAAGATCATTGCACACGCCCACGGCCAGCGTCTGCATGGCGGTGCTGGCGCGGATGACGGCCATGAGCAGAGTGTTGCAAAACGCAAGGGCAATGTTGTTGATGTACTTCAGCCGCGGGAGCTGCAGTGACGTGAGGCTGGGGCAGCGTTGCAGCGTGAGCGATCCGAGCGCGGTACCGAGGAAGGTGAAGTCCTTCAGTGCAGAGTCGGTGATGCAAACGTCGCTGACGTGTTCGACGCCGACGAGGGACAGGGTCGACAGCTCGCGGCATTGCGACACACGCAGCAGATGAATGCGCTTGCTGCTGCAGACGACCTGTGTGAGGGCGTCGCAGTCGTCGATGACAATGGTGCTGGCGCGGGGGAGGTTGACTGGGCCATGGAAGCCCTGGAGCTGCTTCATGACGAGATGGGTGCCGTTGAAGGTGAAAGCGCGTGCGTGCAACATGCTCACCGAAACGTGGTTCAGCGTGAGTCGCTGGACATTGGCAAACTGTGTGAGGGGAACGAGGCATGTCCAGGCGAGCGAGAGCTCCTTGGCTGCTTGCAACGGGGCAAAGTCCTCCAGCTGGCCACACTTGACGCTGACGGTGGGGACGTTGGCCAGGGCGCCGATTTCAAGAGGAACCATGCGCCGCTCGAGCTCTCGGATTGTCACAGACTTGACGGAGCCCAGGGAGCCCGTGATGCTGGGCTGGCGGTGGAGGATGGTCCACGTGAAGTGGTCGACGCCACGCAGCTGGACCTGCTCGACGGGCTTCTCTGATGTGAGGAACACGTGGCATGCGCCGCTCAGGGCAATGACGTCGGTCGGGATGATGGTGCGGATGTGGGCCTGCTCGAGGCGCGGGTTGCCAAGCTCGCGCAGGAGCTCCAGCACGGAGTCCCAGTCGCCCTCGGAAGCGTAGCGGAACTGCATGAGATACACCACTGCCGGGGTTAGGCGCGCGGGCTGGTACCGCGCGGCGTCCAGCGCTTGGGGGTTGTGGGCGGCAACGTCCCCAGCGGCGCCGACACCCCGCACCCATGTGATCATGTCCTGGTGGAGGTTGAAGCAGAGGCGAGCGTAGCGGGAAAACTTGGTGTGGAAGGCTTGCGTGTGCTGCTTGAGGCGCAGGTAGTGGCAGTTGGCGCGCCACAAGACGCCGAGCCGGGCGTAGGCGATGAAGCGGTCCTCGCACCACGCCTTCCAGTCCTTGAGCACCTTCTTGTTGGTGATCCACGCGACGCCCGGCGCGTCAAAGGCGTCCTGCAAACACCACACGGGCAGCGCATACGGAAGCTCGCGGTACATCTTGTGGCAGGTGCACATGAGGCGGATGAGTGCGAGTGCGTTCTGCTTGTGGTACGGCAGGTACTTGTCCACTACTCGCCGGCGATTGCTCGGCTGCGATTTGGGCGGCTCCGCATATCGCGGGACTGTGAAGAGCTGCTGCACAATTAGCGTCCACTGCGTCAACCCAAGCTCTTCCATGGTTCTTGTTGGCAGGCTGGCTGGTAAAGGTCAAAGGGAAGAAAGTGTGTGCTGTGGGGGGGTGTGAGGGCAGTGAGGGCTGGAGGCGGCAGAGGTGGCTGTGGAAAGCGAGACAACGATCGGGGTGGTGGTTGAAGAAAATTTACAAAATCACGTACAGAATTGCGATTTCGACTGAAATCAGTCGTTCTTGTTGATGATCTTGCTTCTTCTCGCTGCGCGAACGCAATCGTTGATGGAGCAAAAAGCAAACAGCGAGGAGCAGCCATTTCCTTCCAATCAGTCAACCACCTCGCTTCATCGCTTTGCAACATCAACAAACAACAGCCAGACGCACACGCACCTTCGACGTTCGCGGCTCAACAAGTTCCACGACACACAGCATGGAGACCACGTTTATGAGGGCTGAAGCATCGTCGCCAAGCGCAGCAGCTGGCGGAGCAGGGGGCATGTTTGATTTCTCCCATGTCAAGCGCGACACCCAGCAACACCTGACGCGGGTGTACGGCGCTCTCACTGCCGCCGCTGGCGCTGCAGCCGTCGGCGCTTACTCCTACGACGTTGTCCTTGACGGCATGGTAAGGCAGCTGATGTGTGTGCGCGTATGTGTTTGTGTGCGTGCGTGCGTGCGTGCGTGCGTGCGTGCGTGCGTGCGTGCGTGCATGTGTGTGTGTGCATGTGTGTGCGTGCGTGTGTGTGTGCATGTGTGTGTGTGCGTGCGTGTGTGCGTGCGTGTTTTCGTTTGTGCGTGTGTTGTACATGTGCGAGGGAGAGGAAGGCAGACAAGCGTGCTTGCGTTTGCGTGAGTTTGCGCGTGCGTTGGCTCCAACGAAGCCATGGCAAGACTAACCCTCCTTATGCGTGTGCGCTTGACTGGCAGTTTTCGGGCTTTTGGCTGCTGTTCTTGGGCAGCCTGTTCTGCGTGTATCAGCTCAAGAGCTCACACTGCAATGACATCAACCAGCCCACGTCGCGCTGGCTCTACCTCCTTGGGTTCGGCTTCCTTACTGGTGAGGCAGCTCTGTGTTGCGTGTGCGTGTGTGAAGGGCTCAGTTCTGTGCATTTGTGACGTTTGCTGTTGGTCGCATAGACAAAGCGGTCTTGAAGCCATCCATCACCTTCACCAGAAGCTGCCCTGTCTTGTCAACTGGTTGCCCCCATGCCCCCCCCCTCCTCTCATCACCAATCACGTGTATTGACATGTACACCGCACGCCACCCTCTCCACCCTTAACCCTATACCCGTCCGTCGATCTTCATCCTTCATTCTGACAGGCGTTTCCATCGGGCCCCTGCTGGATCTGGTTGCGTTCATCGACCCAAGCATTCCAACCACAGCCCTCGTGATGACAACGCTTGTGTTTGCCACGTTCACCATGATGGCTCTCCAGGCTCCCTCCCGCACCTGGCTTTACCTTGGAGGTGTGTGTGTGTGTGTGCGTGTGTATGTATGTGGATATACGTGTGTGTGTGTATGTATGTATGTGTGCGTGTGTGTGTGCGTGCGTGTGTGTGTGTGTGCAGGTGTGCGTGTGCGTGCGTGAGTGGATGTATGTGTGTGTGTGTGTACGTCTTACTTGCGCTTGCGAGGTCCGTTCAAGTGTTCAATTTGTACTGACACCTGTTTCGTTTATACGCTGTCATGCGTGCGTGTGTGGTGACACCAGGCATCCTTGGCTCGATGATGCTGGTCAGCCTGACCATGGCCATTGTCAACATCTTCCTCGGCTCCATCATCCTCTTCCAGGTAGCACACGACTACAGACATGCTTGTGATTTGGGGGGGGGGGCGAGCGTTTAATTCCTGTCGAGGTGATAAAGACTGCGTGTGATGTGGTGCATCCGTTTCTGCTTCTGCGCCGCATACGTGAAAGCTTTGCATGTTCGAAATCAGCGCCTACACTTCCTCAACGAGAAACACATCCTCACCTTCTCTCTGCGCACACCCCTGCCTTGAACCCTATTGAACTCCCCTCAATCCCTCTTCCTTCCCATTCAACCCCCCTCAATCCCTCTTCAATTCCCATTGAACCCAATTCGACCCTCCTCAACCGTATCCCCCCCCCCTCAATTGTGCTCCCACATTGCCAGGCCGAGCTGATGCTGGGTATGCTCATCTTCTCCGGATTTGTTGTCTTTGACACGCAAGTCATCATCACCAAGCACGAGCTGGGCGACCGCGACTACCTGAGCCACGCGCTCGACCTCTTTGTGGACGCCGCCGCCCTCTTCAAGCGCATCCTCGTCCTTCTCGCCCAGAACAAGGTATCGTGCGCTTGTGTTTGTGTGTGTGCGTGTGTTGTGTATTGTATTTGTGTGTGTGTGTGTGTGTGTGCGTGTGTGTTGTGTGTGTGTGTGTACCTGCCATGCTGCCTGTGATTCTGCCTGTCATGCTGCCTGCGAGCAGCGTTATGCCTTACTTGTGTTGTCCACCTTCATCCACGTTCATCCTTGACCACGACTTCGGTTCACGTGTCGATTTCGTGCCTCGTTGCATTTGCGTGCAATCATGACTGCTTTGTTTTCAGGCACGTCGGTCGGACGAGAGCGGAAGCCGCCGCAACACAAAGCGTCGTTGAACGAACGAATGGAATGATGTTGCACCAAGCAACTCACAGCACCATGTGCCTCACACCCTGGCTGCTGAATTGCAGCACGACAATGGGTGTCAACGCTGGCCTCTTCTCCTTGCCATTTGTTCCAATTGGTCCTTGCTCTGCTGCTACTTCTTATTGATGGTGTATCCGTTTTGCTCGCGTCCCGATCGTGTCTGTGCCTGTGTCTGTGTTCCGTGTCTGTGTGCTGTGTCTGTGAGTTTCTCCTCTGAAGCCTTTGAGTTACATTTCAGCGTGTGTGCAATAGAGCTCAAGACAATACGAGAAAATGCAAGAAAGGTCACACACACACACACACATACACACACACACACACACACACCTGTCCGCCGTGCACAGTTCATCGTGCGAGTGGCGTTCACACGTATCCCCCCGACATCCCAGAGTTGTTCGTTGGACATTTCACCGTTACATGAGACAATTTTCCACAACGGCAGGAAAGAAGGCAACGACGATGAGCGACAACCATGCACAACACCACCAACAACAACAACAGCCGCCTGCACCTCAGCAACCGGCTGCAGGCGTTGCTGTGAGCGCCGTGACGTCTGCGGTACCCTCGTCAGCGTCGTCAACGAGAGCAAGTAGGGACGTGCCACATCCTGGGAAATCAGCGGGCAGTGATGGGAATGGAAATACCAACAACGGCAGCAGTACCACAACAAAGGGCAAGGGTCGTCAAGACATTGCGCTCAACGAGTCGCTCACCTCCATTGACTGGCTTCCGCGCTTGAACGTCGGCAGAGGGTGAGCATGGCTTTGCCTGACCGTGTCGTGATGAAACACACAACACACTGCCATTGATCGCAGGGAGATGCCGCCAGAGGGTGATCATAGATCATGTACCTCGTGCCGATGCCTCGATGCAGCCTTGGCTGATTTGGGGTGTGTTTTTGTCATGAACGTCACACGACCTCCGTGTTCACGCTTTGAATATATCACTGATCCAGGAGGGAAGACGGGAAGCCACCCTACTCCTACGCTACCCTCATCACCTTTGCGCTCAACAGGTCTGTGAGTGTGTGTGTGTGTGTGGTGTGTGTGTGTGTGTGTTGGATGTGTATGTGTGTGTTGGATGTGTTGGATGTGTGTGTGCGCGCGCGTGCTCGTGTGCGCACGTGTTGTAGGGACAGCGTCATTCTTGTTCTGTTTTGCACGTTCATGGTTGTGGGGGTGTACGTACATGGCCCAGTGCTCCACGCACTCATGTTACTATGGTGTTCATGCATGCGCTCCATTCTTCAACCATTGAGTTCGACCCATTCTCTCATCACCATGCCTGCCGCCACCTGCAGTGTGAAGACTGGCGAGAAGAAGATGACGCTTGCAGACATCTACGAGTGGATTCAGGAGAACTACCCTTACTTTCGCACCGCAGACAAAGGCTGGAAGGTCCGCTAACTAACCGCTCTCTCTCTCTCTCTGTGTGTGTGTGTGTGTGTGTGTGCGTGCGTGTACGCTTACGTGTGTGTGCCGTACACCCCTTCTGCTGCGTGGATCTGTGTGTGGTGCTGATTGTGTCATCTGATGCTTGCGCGATACCCCAATTGCAGAACTCTGTCCGACACAACCTGTCCCTCAACAAGATGTTCAAGAAAGTCCCAAGGGACCCAGCAGATCACGGCAAGGTGCGCTTTCCCGCGTGCGTTTGCTGGTCGTGTCACTGGCAGCTGTTGGATGCAGAATGCCGCCATCACTTGTGCCAAAGCACAGGCACACAGCCACGCACACGTGACAAGCAAAGAACACATAAGTAACAGTCCCACAAGCAACACCACATACATGCACACACACACACACTCGCATGCAAACAAGCGCGAGTACACACACACACACACACACACACACACACACACACACACACACACACACACACACACACACACACACACACCACCACCACCACCACCACCACCACCACCACCACCACCCTCACTTCCAAAACCTAAACGCGCATGCATGCAATGGGTCCGTGCAGGGATGCTACTGGGCAATCAACGAAGATTATGACCCAGAGACGGACGGGAGCAAAACAAGCAGGAAGCGCAAGAAGAAGACGGTGGGGCATAAGCGACAGCACTCATGACCGACACCACCACCACTTACCGGCACTGACTGATACGTTGCATGTCCTCAGATTGCATGATGTACCGATTTGCGCCCACAATTCCTCACGTGCATTCAAACACACGCACACACACACAACACTCATTTACACACTCATACACACACAACAAATACACTGGCACACAACACTTGTAAACACACTTATACACACTTGCGTATTTCACTAGAGCAAGTCGTCGGATACGGGGGAAGAGCCTGCCAAGAAACCGCCAACAGCATTCAGCCCAACATCAAGCATGTCCGGTGTGCTGCAGCAGGCGCAGCTTGCCGAGTTGCTTGGGTCGCAGGGCATACCGTCAGCATCGTTCTCTTCTCTTGTGCCGCAGCAGCAAGCGCAACAACAACAGCAGCAGCAGCAAACACAGCAGCCGTTGTCGCATCAGCAGTTACACGACAACCAGCTCGCGGTTCCCGACAACATTGGTTCGTCTGTGTGCGTGCGTGTGTGTGCGTGTTTGTCCGTGCGTGTATGCGTGTGTGTGCGTGTGTTTGTTCGTGCGTGTATGCGTGTGTGTGCGTGTGTGTGTGTGTCGGCGTGTGTATGCGTGTGTGTGTGCGTGTGTCTGTCTCTGTGTGTATGTGCGCGCGCGTGTGTGTATGCGTGTCTAGTGGGCGTAATGTGAGTTTGAACTTGAAAGCGAATGCACTTGCGATCTTTGCCTCCTCTCACTGACTGACACGCCAACCAAACTCTACCACCGTGCTCCTCCCCCGTCCGGTTGTGCAGATTTGAATGCGAGCTTATCTGCGTTCCATGACCTCAACTCCTCCTTCTCTCAAATCTACTCCAGCATCGTTGACACAGCCCCCGCAACAACACCAACAACATCATCAACCGCCGCATCCATCATCACCACGACGACGATGGCACCAACAGCACCAGCACCAGCAGCGCCCGCCACATCCACTGCCCCAACATCGTCTGTGACGGCAACAGCAGCGGCCCCGCCTGTGCTCACGTTTGAAACAGTGCAGGGCGTCATGTCGGTGAGTGGCCGTGATGGTGGTGGTGGTGGTGGTGGTGGTGGTGTTAATCTTGCCATGGTATCAACTCACATCTGAGCCCATTGATATTGTGTGTGTGACTGATTGCAGAACCTGGAGTCAAATCCACCACTGCTGCAAACACTTGATCAGAGCCTCTACAAGTGCGTGATGACAGCAGAGAGAGAGAGTGTGTGTGTGTGTGTGTCTGTGTGCATGAACATCCGTGAACATGTGTGTGTGTGTGTGTCTGTGTGCATGCGTGTTGCGTGCGTATGCGTGTATGTTTCCTCTCCCCACTGGTCTTCTGTCATTCATGACTCGCATCACTGCCATAATTTGGCCTTCAAACATCATCAAGGAAAACGCAAGACCTGGTGAAGAATGTTCAGGGTGACATGAGCTTGAGCGGAAACTGGCTCCTCTCTCCGCACTTTCCCGACTTGGCAGCGTCGTTCAACACGCTCCTCCAATCGTCCACCAACCCGCTCGCAAGCATGGACCTCTCTGCGTTGCCCATGGTACGTGTCTGTGCGTGCATGTGTATGTGTGTGCGTGTGTTCTCACATCACTTGGATTACTGACGTCATGATCCACGTCTCACATGCTCGCGCGCACGGGTTTTTACATATGTATCCTCCCCCTGCGCAACCCTTGAACAGGCGCCGAAGCAACCACAGCCACAGGTACGGGCTTTGCCCACTGCTCTCCTTCATGTACACATGTGAACGCACGAGGGCATACTTACACACACACATGCAATACCGTCATTCTCATTCACAACGCGCGCACCAAACACACACACACCCTGTGCTTCGCAGACAACTGACATTTTCAACGTCGATGAAGAAGAGGAGTTTGACTGGGACACACTGCCCATGGCATGATGCAATAGTGCACACAAGCCCGCAGGTGGTGGTGGTGGTTGCGTGCAATAATCAGCTGTGTCTTTCAATACATCACATGTGTGTGCGTGTGGCATTGCGTCGCTTTCTTTGGTTACACTTGACTTGAGTCGGAGCAATTATTTCATCAATGTGCTTGACAGCATACAAACGACACGTTATCCCAAACAAAACAAGGCGCAACCATACAGGAAAGCAAGACATGGTAAAGCAATACAGAGAGGACACGGTTGGCGGCGTGCTGCCTGCTGCTGCTGCTGCTGCCTGCTGCTGGTCACATGTCGTAACTGCAGCGTGCACATGAGTAGAGGGCCGAGGGTTGAGGAGAGCAAACAGTCGACAGGGTGAGATAGCGTGAACAGCAACATCGCACGAGTGAACGCACAGACCAAAGAGGAGGAGGAGGAAAGGCAGAACAGTGCAAAGTGGGGATGACACGCTCGTGACTCACTCTGTTGCCATGTCAAAGTCCATTGAAAGCCCGCTGGCCTGGATGCTCTGGTTGGCGCGGCGCAATCGCGAATGACGACAGAGAACCAAGACAGATGTGTGTGTGTGTGTGTGGAGGGGGGGGGGACACATGTGGTGAACGTATAGTTTGAGGTAGCGCACCAACATGAGCAATCAACACACGGCGACAGATGAACGCAAACATCACCATCACCACAATTCGCGTCAGCATCATCGCCACCATCGTCATCAACGCACCTGCTTGATGTACGTTGTGCTCGTCTCGATGGCTTCGTTGGTCCGGCGTGCGGCCTGGTACAGCTGGACAACAGACACGCGCGCACAGGAGGGGCAGCAAGGCCGATGCAAGCAGTGAATGGGAGGGGGTGACGGAGGAGGGAAGTGAGCCAGGCGGTGGGAATTGCGTTGTGAGCGACAATCAGAAGATACAAAACAGTCACAAGCCACCAATGACGGTGATGGTGATCGCAGAGTGCTGATGGTGAAGTGGACACTGTGCATGTCAGCGGCAGCGCTCGCACCAACATGTGCGCGCGCGCGCGCGCGCGTGTGTGTGTGTGTGTGTGTGTGTGTGTGTGTGTGTGTGTGTGTGTGTGTGTGTGTGTGTGTGTGTGTGTGTGTGTGTGTGTGTGTGTGTGTGTGTGTCTTGGCAGGAACAAGGTATTGGCCCTCACCTCTGCTGTTTTCTGGAAGTTAGACTGGAGCTCTTGCAGCGACTGCTCAGACATGTTCTACATGCGCACATGCACGCGCACACATACGTATGACAGCAACAACAGTAGGTGGTGGTGAGCCATAAAACAAAGCTGGCAAGGCGTGTCTACGTGCGTGTCGTTGAGATTCAACAAGACATCACATGTGTCAGTCTGTGTGTGTGTGTGAGTGTGTGTGAGAGTGAGAGTGAGAGAGTGTGTGTTACGTACGGGCGCCTGACGGTCATGGAAGGAGACGACGCCGGCCCGCGCATCAATAGTCGCGCAGAGCTGATTCGAGTGGATCTGGTGACGGCGGTGGCGATGGCGATGGCGGTCATGGGAAGGTTGAGCTTCGACGTGGAACACACACACACACACACACATGTGCACATGGTCTTCAAGGACAAAAGCCTCTCGTCAGTCACCCCTGTCCATCACCACCGCCATCAACACCACCCCCCTCCCCCTCACCATCACCAGCGCCGTCATCAACATCGTCATCACCATGTCCTCGAGGATGGCCTGTGCTTCGCGGACGTCGTTGAGAGCGGCGCGCTGCGTAATTGCATCCAACGACAGCGTGATGAACGTCTGTGTGTTTGGCAGTCATGCACATGACGGTGGCGATGGTGACAATGTTAGCGGTGGTGGTGGTGGTGGTGGTGGTGACAATGTTAGTGGTGATGGTGATGGGAGTGTGATGAAGGCCGCTGTGCCATCGCATTGGGTGGATGTGCGATTGTGTGCAAGTTCATAGCAGCAGCAGGACGCCAGCCTCAACCACCGCGGTTATGCAGCGAGTGAGCACCGAAACGACGTCCCAACCACGCCAATTGCTCATGCTCGCACCTTGGTGAGCCGTTGGATGCGGTGGCGCTTGGCGGCTTCGACGCACTGCTTGGCCAGACCCATGTTGTTGTCCTCTGTCAACAGCAGTCATGGTGATGACGGTGTGAATGACGATGGCGACAAACACGCTGAAGCGAAAGGAGTTGGTGGAAATGCGGACGGGGCACTTCGTGAACACCGCGCAGATGTGTTAAGTTGGGGGGCGAGTGTGAGGGGGGGGGGGAGCACAGTCCCATCGCACATCAGCCAACCCCCACGGGGGTACACAGCAGCTGTCGCCACAGCAGCAAGCAACACGTCTCCAATTTCCAACCAGCACTTGGTTGAGAGGCATTATACGCGTGTGATCATGCCCGACCTCTGAACATGTCTGTGTAGGACTGCATGAGCCTGTCGACGTTCTTGTTCGCAACCACGGCTTCAGCAAACGCCTGACGCAGCAAAACAAAGGAGAGAGCAGGGAAGGCAGTAGGTGCAGTGGTCATTGGCGGTCACGGGTGCTTGAGTGTGATGCACCGCGCAAAGCGACGCAAATGAGACGACACACGACAAAATCACACACACACACGCACGCACGCACGCAACACACACGTTGGAAGCGTACGTTGTATTTTGAGCAGAGGCGGTTGATGCGCGACAACACAGAGACGCCGATGGAATTCGACGACTGGGGGTGTGTGTGTGTGTGTGTGTGTGTGTGTGTGTGTGTGTGTGTGTGTGTGTGTGTGTGTGTGTGT